TAGCTGAGGAACTATTGACAACCGATAGCTGCTGGGATAGAAAGAGTCCATTTTCTTTAAGGGTGTGATGCCAATTAGGTAGGTCGACCAAGTTCCAGGGGATGGACCCATAACAAAGGGCATTTGGGGACACAAATGAGACTTGATAGGCTTTAAAAAAAAATAGAGAATATCAAATTGGATTGGGGATAGTAAGGGATTGGAGATAAGGAGTTTGAATGTGATCAAAATACATTGTATGAAATTCTCAAAAAAGCAACACAAATATTTTAAATCACTAATTGTAGTTGTAACAACATATAAGCTAAAAGCTGTACCTTTAATTATCATGACTTCATAGATTATAGTTGACATATCCTTAAGCTGTTTAAAGGCAGAGAAGTTGCACTTTACTTTGCACAGTTAGTATAATATTAACAGATTTTATGAATAAAATTTGAGGCTAGGGAGATAGCCCAATCAGTAAGTGAACTTTGTTTGTCATACTAGCATGAAGACCTGAGTTTGATCCCTGGACCCCACATAGAAAAGATGGGTACACCTAAGAGTTGGAGACAAATGGATCACTGGGATTTGCTAGTCAAATTGATCCCTCTAATTGGTGATCAATCCCCAAGGCACTGAGAGACCTTTCTCAGAAAAAGGAATAAAGAAGAAAAGTTGATGGCACCTTCAGACCACACAAAGTCTTCACCTGGCTTCCACATGCACATATGCCTTTGTCGGTATGTACACACACACACACACACACACACACACACACATGCACACACACACGAACATACACAAAATTAAGATTGTCAAATATAATGTAGGAATAAAGAGATAATGGCCTATTTTCAGTGCAGAAAAATGTACATAGAATAAGAAGTTGTCAGTATGTCTCTACACCAATAGGAGCATATATGCTTGTATGTATAATTAGATACTAAAATCACACAATATAAAAAAGTGAAATGAATTTTCAGCAATTTAAATAGCATACTTATGGTGGCCTATTTTTAAATGAGGATTGTACGGCTTCCAATGAATTTACATTGAGGGGAGATGTCCAAGGGTTTCCTGAGAAAAACAGTTGTCATCCAGAGCATGATTACATGAGGACCAGAGGACATCCAGTCAAAAGACATATGTCACACATTTTGAAAATTAGCGTTTTCAAAACCCTCAACTCACCAGGCAATGTTATGCAATGCTCTTCATGAATGTCTTGCACAAGTAGGGATTTATTTGTTTCGTGGTGGTTTGTAGCTCTCAAAAAAAATATCAAGGGAACCAGAAATAAATAACAAGACCTCAACTCATTTTAAAGTAGACCATGTACCTCACAGTTAGTCTGAAGATTAGTTTTTCTTCATTTCACTTTCTTCTAAAGAAGTAGAGAGAATGCCATGTGGTATGGGATTTTTAGTTGCAAATAACAGAATCTAATTTATGAAAGGAATTCTCAAAGATGTTGGAAACTTGTGTAACCTCTGCCCTATGACCTGGTTTTGGCACCTAAGCAGCCAGAACAGCATGATCATGAACAGTGCAGTCCTCAGAGTACTTGGGAATTCTTGGGAATTTTTCAATAGCTTACATCACCTGTCCTCACGAATATGATTGATGCTTGTATTTGGAGGCTAGGAAACCATCACTGCTGTTTCAGGAGAATTAGAATCTCTGTTACTCCATCTTCTCTCTAGTTGATTCAACTAGACATAAAGCAGCTGCCCCCTTGTGTTGTTCCCTCCTGCACCTGTGTTACCCAGAGGCATCTGATTGGTGGAAACTAGGTCGTATGTCTTTATGCTAGTTGTAAAGGAACCTAGGAAGTTAAGTTGTAGGTTTCAGCTTCCTTTACAAGGGGCCTATTTTCCAGAAGAAAAGCTAAAGAGGGATTGGAATGGGAGTCGAGTTAGCTACACTACCAAATCTTCCATAGATGAAGTTTCTTCACCACAGTCATAACTAGTAAGTAGCAGAACCTTCAGATGCAGAGTCTTAATGTGTTCCCAAGACAAAATGAATGCCTCCATGCTAGAGCTGAATAGCTCACATGGCCTTTAGAATTCAAAGTATCCCCAGGAGAAGCCACTTTCTCTTCATCTAGAATTATATTGATTCTCAATATCATTGTTGATCTGACTACAAAATATCTTAACATTGTAATGGAAGAGCCCAGTGAATGGAAAGTTCAGAAAATATGTCTTTTGCCTGCTTCTCATTAAAAATGTCAACTGTCACAATTGTGTGTGGTGGGGCACACCTGTAATCCCAGCAGTATGAATGTCGTGGCAAGTGAATCAGGAGTTCAAGGTCATCTTCAGCTGCAGCCTAGGCTACAAGTGCACCTATCTGAAAAAATACATAAAAAAATGTGACTGACAAAAGTCAGACTCAACTATTGAAACAGGAGCTCAAAGCCAAGATGACATACAAGCAACTCTCAGTTCATTTTTCCACTTGTCACATTGCTTGATAAAGAAAAAAAGAAAAAATTAATCTATTATGTAAAAGATAAAATGCACACTGTGATATTCAGACCCCCCCTCCTATAGTTTAGTAGAACTGCTTAAATCCAGGTTTAATCATTTAGCATTTATGTGATGCTGGGAAAAGTTGGTTAGTATCTCTGAATCTCACTTTGAGGACCATGCTTCCTACTTCTTAGAATTGGATGTTTCTAAGATATTTGTTGGTTGGTTTCAAATGATGTCTCATTCTTTAGCCAAGGTGAGCTTAAACTCATGGTAATCCTCTTGTTTCATCCTCTCAATTACTGGGATTACAGGTATGAGCTACCATACTGTACTTTCCAGAAAATTATTAGAACTATTTGAGAAAGACTTCATGTAGTGCTAGGAAAATAGTAGGTATTAATTAAATAGGAACCATCATTTAACATATTCTTTCAAAACAATAACTAATTGTCATAACCTTTATTTTATAAATCTTAGAAGTTACTTGCTATAGTATTTTTTGCCCATAAAAATAGTTATCCTTGTGACTGAAAAGATAGAGGAAAGAACCCCGAGTGAAGTATTTTTCTCCTTAATTCCTGATGAACTTATATTAGTATGATCCCATGTGTTTAAAAATAAGGAAATGACTATTTCCTTTATAACCAACCAGTTTCCAGTTATATCCGGAGGACCTCCTTAAATTCTCCTTCTACCAATATTTTAAAACTATGATGGACTTTCAAATCATGTTCTAAGAAAGGGAAAGCAAGTAACTTAAAATTTCTCAGAATCAGTGGTTCCATCTGTCCGGTTCAAGTACATGATGAAGAAATCACTATGAAAGTGAAGCCTTTGAATAAGAAAATAGCCTCAGAATTTCACAGAAAGTCATCATAATGGGCCAAGAAAAACTTGCTTTAAACTGGACTTTTTACATTAAGACAGTTTCAAAAACAGTCTGACATCTCAAATATAAAGAAAATGAAAACTCTCATCTGTGAATATATGCAAGAATTAGATAATCATGCTTCCCCCTTGGGTTGTCATTAGCAAAACCTGCACTATACACTGATTTACTTTGTCTTTGATTCAAACTTACCAGTCCAAGAAATTGGATTTAAATACTTGTGCTCTAAAATGTATGTTCTACCCAAACAGAACAAAAGGGGAAATGAGGAAAAACTTTTCCTCCCTTCAGTATATACTTGAATTTGTATACAAAGGTAGAGAGAATTGTTGAGATTGGGGAAGGGTGTCAAGTTCAATGGCCTCTGCACCACTTTGCCAGAACCTTGCTGGAAAGTTGGCAGCAGAGCCTTTGTTTTAGGAAACAGGTGCCTCATGTGAAGAAACTGGAGTGAGGGCTGAGTCCTGGCTTTCAGAATGGGAAGAATAGGAAAAGGATGGAGTGAGACAGTCTGCAGAGAGGACCAGGTAGCAGGATGGTCCATTCTGGGAATGTCAGAGTGCCTGCAAGAGCCCCATATGTGAGGCAATGGGAAGCTCAAGGGAGAACACTCATTTGGAGTCCAAGGAGGAGAGAATAACAAACATGGAAGGTGATGCCAGGGTGGAGAGAAGGTGGTGAGGCCACTTTTCTAAGCAAAGGAACCAGCAGGAATGGAGACACTAAAGCGTCCAAATACAGGGATAGTCCTTCTTCGGGGGTTTTGCAAAACAGATACAAGGGGTAGGACTTTTACTGGGGAGAACTAAAACAGATTCAAGAGGTACATAAATATGATGGTGAAAAATTCAAGGCAGAAGAACGATGAAAATCATTTTTCCTGGGTCTCTAACCATAGGTGGAATACATTATTTTTTAACAAAAAAATCATAAACAAAAATAAATAATGAAGAGCGCTGCATGACCTTGAATATTCAGAGCAGAGTGCAGGATTCAGTGTAGATGAAGATGAGCAAAGGGCAGGTGAGCAGCTTGACTGTCACAGTCCTGGGGACAGGCAGAGGTGAGAGCAGTGAAGAGCCAGCCTTGATGACAGGACAGGCACAAAACAAACGGTGGTTTCACCTTGCCTAACACTTAAGAGAATGGTGCAGATAGCCCAGATTTCAGGAGGAAGGGATATGACTGAGTAGCTACTCCATTAAATAAGCTTTCTTGTCTTGTCACCTGGCTTTCATTTGTGAACAAGTCTGTGAAAATTCCAATAATTTCCAACCTGAAGTTGAAAGGTCCCTTGGGTAGGTAATTAAATGATGACCTACCTTGTAGCATTACATTCCAGATAAGTTCAATTACAGCTTCAATAAGCTATAAAGAAAATGTACAAGGTTACATTTTATATTAATTTTACCTTAAACCTCTATCAGTAATCATGGCATAGTCACTTCAGGCTATGTCAGCATAATTGTAACATTAGTTGTCGCTACAAATATAGTATTCAAAAGGCTGAAGCTAGACTTTTAACAGTCTAAAATTATATTTGAAAAAATTCTAATGTTATGTTACTTGATACTAATAATAAATAGTCATAATGCTATTTACTCTAACTAGTGTATCCCCTTTATTGCATTGATCTTTTTATACAGATTATAAAATGAAATTGAAAACTGATGACAGTCAATTAGAGAGACCAAGTTTGAGCAACAGCCAAGTAAGAAAACTGGTTTTTTGTAGCAATTAGTCAAGAAATATTGGATGTACATTCCTTATGAAATGTGTATGTGTGTGTGTACGTGCGTGTAAGGGTGCAGGTAGGGACTAGAAGTTGACATCTGGTGTCTTTCTTCATCATGTTTTAATCACATTTTTTCTTATTTTTATTTATTTTTATGTGTATGAGTGCTTTGCCTGCATGGATGCAAGTGTACCTATGTGGTGCAGTGCCCACAGAAGCCAGAGAAGGGTGTTGGGGAGGATGTTGGAGTCCCTAGAACTGGAGTTGCAGATGATTGTTAGTCACCATGTGAACACTGGAAACCAAACTCTGGTCCTCTTCAAGAGCAGCCAGCGTTCTTAACCACTGAGCCATTTCTCCAGCCCTCCTCTTACTCATTTTTAAGGCAGGGTCTCTCACTGAACCTGGAGTTTCATGTTCTGGCTAAACTAGCCGGTTATCAAGCTCTGGGGATCTGCCTGTCTCTGCTTTCCCAACCCCAGTGCTAGATTTATAAACATATGTTGCAACGCCCAGCTTTTAAGTGAATGCTGGAGATATGAACTCAGCTCCTCACAATTGTGCAACAAGCACAATTTATTTACTGAGCCATCTCCCTAGCCTCCCCTTCCCCCATGAAACATCTTATAGGCAATGCTTTACTGGTTTTGTCTTTAATCATGTTTTTATTAATAATGATAATGCTTTGTGTTCATGTAGCATGAATCAGTCTATAATGGATTTTGCAATAAGTGAACTATTTGATCTTTAGAATGATCCTATAGAATATGGCCAGATGTCATTATTTCCATTGGATAGATGAAGAAACAGAGCCGTAGATTTGCACAAGCATCAAAGTTACGACTGAAACTCTGGAGGATGAATCCAGGCCTTTTAGTACCATAAGATTAATTGCCTACAAAATTATTTCCACTGACAGCAGCTACATAAAATCGTTTTGAGATATTATGAATTCTAATAAATTGTTATATTAAAACTATGACAATTAGAAAACAAAAGAAATATATAACTCAAAATTTCTCTTCTTTGGGTTATTGCTTGCTATATGGTGTTAATATAATTTTTTAAATAAAGCCTATAGTAATATCACCCTTGTGTAACAAACTAATAAATATCTCCCTAAACTATATGCATTTTGCATATAGTAAATGCGCTATTTATTCTGGTTTCTAAACATAACCATTTATATCAGCCTCCAAGCCCTCCCCTAAGTTATGGACCAAATGAAAGCTTTGATATCACGTAGCTCATCAATTTTTAAGTTCTCACAGCTGCTGTTTATATTAGTCAGAAGTCTTTACTCTCATCTTCCTCCACAGTTCTAATAAAAAAAAAAATGCTGGCATTTCCTTTTCCAGTAGAGAAGCCACACCCAGGCCCATCACATGGCTAACCTTTCAGGTGCCTATGATTAAATAAGTGATTGCTCTGTCTTTTAAAATTGTCTTCTATAAGGCAGTCAAGATACACTATACATCCATGCAAATGAAGCAGAGCATTTATTTAAAATAATGAGATATACTCATTTTCATTTTTCCCTGAGAGGATTATAGTGATGCTAAAAATAAAAAAATGAAAAAAAAATCTTTGAATTCTAGAACTAGGGCAACACATTGATTTTTAAGAAAGCTATAATCTTCCTTTCTAATTTGAAGTGCACATTCTTCTCCGTGAAATAGTGTGGATTTTACAGTAACAAGAGCCCTGAGCCCATTGAAAAGATGTCCCCGCACGAGCCACTCCTCTTGCAGGTTCTTCCCATTCTTCCAAAGGCAAGGATTTATAAAGCCCCTTTCAATAAATGTCAAAGTATACTGAACTAAAAAGGAGCAAGGTCCAAATTTCTCCAGATTTGGGAAGGAAGCTTTCAGCTGCCCAAACTGATGAATATTATCTTTTCCTCTCTGCCCCTTCTTTGTTACTCATGATTCATGGGGTAAGTTCAATCTTGGGGTCTCTCTGAAAAGACTCATAATTAAAATTTTAAAAGGAACAAATTAGTTCTTTGTCTGTCAGCAGTAGAGGAGTCAGAAAACTTCTGGGAGGGGCCTTTGGGGATTTGATCTTCCTGGAGCCTGATTCCTTTCATAGCAAGGAGGTTTGCTTAAAAGAACAGCCAAGAGAAGAAGCCAGCCCTGTGACTTGGAGTTAAGCAAGCTGGATAGCACAATGGTTTATGAAATTCTTCCTTCAAGGACCATTATCTAGTTAATAGCGTTTTATTTCTTCTTCTTCTTCTTCTTCTTCTTCTTCTTCTTCTTCTTCTTCTTCTTCTTCTTCTTCTTCTTCTTCTTCTTCTTCTTCTTCTTCTTCTGTACTTACTTATAGCATAAGTACAAAAGTGAGAGAAAAGGAAGAGCCAGGTATCAACATAACCATATGCCAGATTGATACAGACAGCTAGGAGCTCTGGCCTGTGGGGCTCATTCATCAATTATTTCTGTTGCAGTCGATGTAGAATTTCCCCACAGAATGAAGATGCTTTGATTTTACTCAAACATCTTTCCTTTTTCAGAATAGATCTCTTTTGCCCTACTCAATATCATGATACAAGGACATAACCAGCATTTTTCCCTTTTCAAGAGCATTTCCTAAGAAGTTGGTCCTCCCTCACTTCCCAGATCCCTTTCTTCTTCTCACCCTATCTCCTCTCTTTCCTTCCTTCCTTTGTCTATTTTCCTGACTTACCTCTCTCTTAGTGAGTTTTCTTTCTTCTAATGGCTTTATCATTCCTCCTATTTTTTAAGTCACTTACATGAGTCCCTGTGTTAAAGCACTTTTGCAGTATGTCCATATGCAAACCTGTGAATGGCAGACAGGTCAGTGGCTTGAGATGATATGGGAGGATTTCCCTGTTCTCCAGAAGTCAAGCCAGTGTCTCCAGAGCTGTGGGCTCAGGAGCGGCCCAGAATCCTGGTTTCTCTGTGTTAACAAGTGTAATGATTCTAGGGATTCAAAGGAAAAAGAAGGTGACAGGATCAAAGATGACTTCAGACCAGGGCCTGCTCTTCATGTGGTCCTGCACTGGTCTGACCTCCTTTCTTTTTTAATCTAAAAATACACCATATCTTCTGTTCATTTTCACTCATTTTTCATTCTTCTTTGAATGCTAATTACAAATTTTTCACCCTTTGAAATCTTGAAAATTAAATGTATAGGAGGGAAATATGTGTGGCAAAGTATTTTATCCTGTTGCTATCCAGTAAAAGTAGACAATACAAGCTGAACTGTACCCTTCCAAAAAGACACATTTAAAATGTTTAAATAATATTTTATTGATTATTTGATAATTTCATAGTGTATTTTGATCATATTCAAACACCTTCCCCATCTCCTCTCAGATTCCTCCCTACCCCCACTTTGTTTCTCTCTATCTCTACATATATATACATATATATATATATAACATATGTTTATATGTTTGTATGTGCTTGCATGTCTATACATATATGTGATGGTTATTTTTTTTATTTTTTAAGGCCTATCAAGTCCAATTTGCATTCTCCAATACTCTTGGGTGTAGGTCCATCCTCTGGAGTGTGGTCAACCTACCCGGTGACACATCCTTAAAGAAAACTGACTCCCTTTCCCAGAGGTTATCAATTACCAGTAGTTTTTCAGCTGGGGCTGGGAGTTTGTGCCAACCTCTCCCCTCCATGTTGGGTTTTTGTCTGACTTGGGTTTATACAGGTCTTGCACATCCTGTCACAGCCATTGTGGGTTCATATGTGCCACTGTCCTGCTGTGCCTGGAAATGACTCTTTCATTGTACTCATCCACTACCTCTGGCTCTTACAATCTTTCCATCCACTTCCTCTTCTGTAAAAAGACACTGAAGCACCCCCTATGCATTCTTTAGAATGGGACTTGATTTAGAAATAGTCTTCACAGTTTTGGTCTAGTTAAAAGAAGGTGATTATAGTAGTCCCTAATCCAATATGACTGGTATCCTTATGAAAAGGGGGGAACAGGACATAAAAGGTGCATATACAGTGACACCGTCCCACAGAGGTGAAAACAGAGATCAACTTAACACGTGTACAAACCCAAGAAATGGGAAAAATGCCAGAAAATGACAAGAAGCCAGAGGAGAGACTTGGAAGAGATTTATCATTCTTATGGCCATCAAAAGGGGCCTGTCCTGCCAAAACCTTCTCAGAGATGCAGCCTTCAGGGCTGAGGCCCTAAATGCTGACCAGCTTGTAGTACTTTCTTAGAATAGCCCTAGAGAAATGATATAGTGACCCACCTGTGGCTCTAGAAGCTGGAGGCACTGCAGGAGTGAACAGAATGACCAAAATAAGAAACACAGCCAGGAAGATCCAAGTGACCAGGGAGGAGTAGAAGTCAAAACTGCAACAATCATCCAAATCAAGTATTAACCACACAAGCTAAACTCCAGACACAAAAACTTAGTGAAAGGCTAAGGGTAACTAAGCTTTTGTTCTCTGCTCAGATGAAGTTCCTTCAGGGTGAGATCAGTTTAGCAAAGCAACTTCCTTCTGTTAATTCTGTTTTACTATTTCATTTACTTGCTTCAGAGCTTTTAGTACTACCTGGACCATTTTTTGCATTTGTGTGTCCTTTCTCTTTCCTGGAGTGCCAGCTCCCACATCCTTTTTCAGCTAGTGCATTTTCATCTTTGATGAACAATGAAGTAGATTTGAAAACACAAAGAAAATCAAAATGTAGAGATGATCTTTGAAACATCAGAGGGTAGAAGCAGGATATTTGCTGAGGTTCCTACAAACCCATGGGAAAGGGCAACAGAATGATCACCAAGCCAACCTAGAGTGTGTGGCAGAAAAAATCAGGGGCAACACATCTGCCTTTAGTAGGGTTCTCTGGAGACTTGGTTAGGATAGATGGATAGGTGAGTGGATGGATGGATGGATGGATGGATGGATGGATGGATGGAGATTTATCATGAGGGACTATTTAATAAGATTATGGGACGTGAGAAGTCCACAATCTTC